AATATACATCTGTCTCCTTAAAAAAGAAAAAGAAAGAATGAAAAGTATTTTTAGATCAGTGAGTTTTAAAATCCCAGGTTGGTATTTTTCTGTGCAATGTTTTCTATTTGGAAACTAAAAATATGAAATTTCTCTATTGAGCAAATTGTCAGTACGTTTAAAAGCATGTCTGAAAGAAAGCAACACTTCTGTTTAGATTTGAAATGAGTCCTTCAATCCTTTGAAATTAAAACATTAAGGAAAACTGTGACAAATTATAATTTAATACAAAAAACCAGCATAGCAAAATTTTTATTTGTATAAATGAAAAGCTATCTAAACAACCCAGCTTAAAAGCAATTGGAGTTCACACTTGCCTCTGTTTTCCAATTTCTTTTACTTTTGTGTATATACTAAATAATTCCATCTTTTTACATGTTTATCAAACTATCGTTTTTATAACACTACACCACACCACAGTGAATCAGTATATAAAATACTATCTGTAATATTAAAATCTTTTAATATGTACATTCATATCCATAAATCAAGACTTGTGTCGCGCCTCCTTCCTTGGACAGAATACAAACTCCTTGCAAAGAGGGGCCATGTTTTATAATTAATGACATTGCTGGTGCTGACTGTTCTATGGAACAAGGTTGGTAATGAAAGAGATTTCTTGAATTCCTTTCTTCATACAAGAACAATAGGAATGGTATTTCTATCAATGCCATCCACCTGAAAGAAAGTGACCGTCTTTGAAAATGACTAAGAAACAGTAAAGACATCTCCTCCGTAAATGAGACGGTGTTTGAGCCACATCACAGAGTAGTCACGGGGAGGTAAAGTACAGCACAGGGAGTATCGTCAATAACATTCTGATAACTAGGCATGGTGCTGGATGGGTGCAGGATCTGTTGGGGCTATTAAGTTATGTAATGTCTGGTCACTGGGGTGAACATTAAAACTAACATAATGATGTATGTCAACTGTAATTGAAAATAAAAAATGATTAAAATATATATATATGACCCAACTGAAAAAAAATAAGCTTCATGACGAGCATCAAGAAAGGACTCATCAATTTAACCATTATCTGTCCATTTGGTATCCAAGGTTATCACAAATCACACGCAGAACCGAAGGTCAGAAAGAGATGTAGTTCCCGAACATTTACTTCCCTCGGCTTCTGCTCCTCAGGACGCACAGCACAGAGCCACGGCCGGAACGTGGTGAGCTGGTGACCGTGGGCCGCATACCAGAGGCCTGGACCCCGCAAACAGAAGCTCCCCCTGCAGCCACCGAAAAGCACGGGCCTGATGGAAAGCACACACGCCTGTGCCCAGACGTGCGACGTGCGGCGTGAATCTGCTGTCTCCTATGCTTAGACAGCAGGACATTTTTAAAGCTCAGTATTAAAATTTAATTGGTAACTCTGACCTTGAGTGCCACTCTAGGTGAAAAATATTACACCAGTGCTCAGATTTTCTTGAGATTTATGATCTCATGTTCTTGAAAAAAGGCCCAGCACCTCCGTGTTCGGAAATAATTGATCTGTCTCTTCTAAGTGTTATTTTCCTGAATCTAACATCTGATGTCTCAGGAAGAAAAGTACAAACTGATGAAAATACCTTGCTATATTTAAAAAATCCAAAAGAGCTACCAGAATTTGCATCTAACACACTATTACTTACAAAAACAGTCAAGATCATAAACTGGTAAATTTCTTAGCACAGAAGACAAGAAAATGTACACCAAACTGCAAAAGCATTTGCAATATTATTTATAAAGATTAACCGCCATTATTAATAAAGAGTGAATGTTTTAAATGTGCTAACAAGCCACATGGCAAATCTTTCTTGGTTTGAAAAGAACTCCACGACACACTGAATATGTTTTCAAACTTAGGAGTTTTCCCTTTTTTTGCAATCACAAATACCACTGACTTCACCCCAGACTCTGGACCACCGATGTTGCTGATGTCTCTTCTTAAAGATATAAAAATATCACAGAGGCCCTGGCTGGTTTGGCTCAGCAGTTAGAGCATTGGCCCATGGACCAGAGAGTCCTGAGTTTGGTTCCCGCTAAGGGCACGTACCTTGATTGCAGTTTGTCCCCGGCCCTGGATGGGGTTGTGTGGGTGGCAACCAGTCAATGTGTCTCTCACATCGATGTTTCTCTCTCTCTCTTCCCCCCTCTCTCCCTCCCACTGTATCTGAAGATAAATGCAAAAATGTCCTCCGGTGAGGATAAAAAATATATATATATCACAGAGGCCATAAGATAAGCAGAGAACAAAGGCAATCTGAAATTGACTGTGATTACGTAACTTCTAGAAACTCAGCATAAGATTCTGGGTCTGTTTGAAAACAAATAACTGGCAAGTATCATTGGTTCTCCTACACATGACGAAATGTCCAATAGAAATAACATGCTCTACCACAAAGCAGTTATAATAATCATCCCGTCTTAGCATTCACTACATTCCTGGCACAGTTATAAGTACTTTCACGTACCAACTCATGTAATGCTGGGTACATGTAAGGTGGGTACTGTCGTTAGTTTCTTTCAACAAATGAAGAAACTACAGCACAGAGAGGACACAGATTGCCCAAGGTCAACTGCAAGTAAACAGCTAAGTTAGGTCACCAGCCCAGGCAACGTGGCTCGGAGCCACGCTTCCTGCAACTAGATTATTGTGTTCCTTGAGTATAGTGGTCGACTCTGTCAGCATGAAGAATTTAAAAAGCAAGAGAGTCAATGCATGCAGAAAAAGTTACAGTTCCTCATTAATTCATTTAAAAATATGTAGTAAGCACCTACTACCCAAAGAAATATGCACAACAAAAGGTCTCCAAAGAAGATACATCATTTACCTTTGTTTGTGGCTCTGAAACTGGGATCTGATGAAGTGGTTACATCTGCCCTCCCAAACGGTTTAATCGCCTTTTTCTACAATTCCCCAAGTGAGGCCCTGGAGAGCAGTCCATGGATTAGCACTTGGAGAAGTCAACTAAATTAGCTGGGAGAGCACATTTACAGGAACTTCATGGGAAAAGCACTAAGAGAAAATAAAGCCCCTGGAAGCAGTTTGTCCATGTGGAGGAAGCTTCAGTTTTACTTGTTTGAATACCTTGGGACTAAGACATCTCACCCAACTGTGGAAACCACTGAACAGCAGTCACATGACAATGGCTGTGGAGTAAGGTTATCAAGTAGGGTTAATTCTGAACAAAAGAGCTTTGCAACAGAAAGAGGCAAAGACACAAAAGATAACCAATTCTCCACATACACAGTTCAAGGTTGACATTAAAAGCCATCTGCAGGGAAAAACAGTTATCACATTAGGGGCTACAACAGGAAAGGCCATCAACTATCTGTTTTTTCCATTTAATGTGGGGAAAAATTAGAAAATACTCATATTTTTATTATACCTAATGGAAAGATCTCTCAAGAGATAGATGATGAAAGAAAGAAAGAAAGAAAGAAAGAAAGAAAGAAAGAAAGAATTATAACATATAATACTACTTCTTTTGTATTTCTAAGTTTATTCTCCATGAATCCTTTCATGATCTTTGGACACATCTGTGGACGAACAGGAAGATCGGAAGAGTTATACCTACACAAAGCCATCACCTTTAGGATAAAGGAGAATAAATGATCTTGTCATATTTATCATCATTGAATTCACTATATCTCCCTTTAAGTAATCTAAGGGCTTCTAAAATTTTTGGCTATAAAGTAAATTGTTAACAGTCAGATGTGTTCCTACAGATATAATAAACAAAAAAATCATTTCCCTGTTGAGGGTGGGTGGATTAAATAAAAATGCCTATAGAAGAGAAAATATTTTTTAAATAACATTTATAAAGATTAGGTAATTTCTTGAAACAGAAATACTACAACTCACACAAAACAAGAAAAATATTACGCTCACAGTCACACACTCCTACTAAACAGAACAGAAGTTGCTGCTAAATAGTATGCAGGATCCTTGGCAAAGGGCATTGTCTTGGGAAAGTTAGAACTATTAAAACATCAACCAGAAACCCTATTCTTTAATGGCCCCAATTTTGTTCTAAGGGTAAAAGAATGAAATGGGTCTCAGGAAACCAGTGAGGCCATTTCTAGCCGGAGGCAACAAAGCTCTATAAATCTTTTCACACAGTTCATAAGCGGGCGTGGCTACCAGGGGTGTGGTTTCCGTTAAAGTTAGAAAGCTTTGAAAGCTCAACTCCACAACAAGGGGAATACCAGTCGAGGATGCGAAGATCAAACACACAACCAGACTCTGTTCTAGCAAGGCTGTTTCATGTTCTATTTGATTTATTATCTAGTTCATATATTTGGAATCCTTCAGCCACGAACACCTTTCACCCATGATAATATGACCATGTGCATAACAAATCTTTGGTAATTAAACTGTGAAAGGCATTGCTTAATGGATGACGAAGTAATTGCACTAAAATAACAAGCAGGCCAACCTCAAGATGTTAAATGAAAAACAACTTCATGCTCCCTGCAGACAAAATCCTTCCATTCTTTTTTCCATTATAAAACAGTTTGTATACCCGATGAAGTAAAGTATTTTTCCAAGTGGGGAAGGTACCAAAGCCGCCTCGTTTATGAACCACCACCCCCAGAAAATGCTAATTTTTAAGCACTGGTTGCTCATTAGTTTTCTTTCTAGATTTGGGAGGGAACAGAGGAAATATGCTGGATTCCTTAGCATTAACTAGGCTGTTCAGTAACCCTGAGGCTGTTCAGTAAAGCAAATAACCAGCTCAGTTGCTGACTATGGAAAGAGTGTTACTGCCAGTTACTCACCCTGTGACCCTGTCCTAGGCAGCACTGTCAGGTAAATGATTGACACGTGAGTCCGCTACCTCCTGGTCACACATTATATACCAAACTGCGAGGAACAAAGGCCAATACTCTGCCTGACTTTCTGTAGCAAGTCCCATACATTTTCCTAGTTACTTCACTAAGTCACAATTATAGATGTATAACCAAAAACACACCTGGGTCCACCTGCCTGGGCGTTCTTCGCAGTCCATTGGTTCGTTTCTGCGCAGAAAGATAAAACAAAGATTTTTGAATTAGTAAAGTGTATTACTTTGTAAAGGATCTAATAAACACTGTAAAACATTAAAAAAATAAGTTATGTTGAATCTTGACGGATATCTAGGGGTTCATTATGCTAATATCACACATATACATTTAAAAATTTTAATAAAAATTTTAATTGAATAAATTGTTTTTAAAGTATATTATTTTCTGATACTTTAGAAGGCCAATGTATGTTGTACTTTTTCCATTAAAAAGTATGACTAAGTTGGATCCAAACATTTGGTTCTAAAGTTTGTTTTTACAATTTGACCTTTTTGTTTCTCTAATAAGTCTTCCACCTGAACACCATTCCACTCTGTAAGTTAATACTTGTAGCACCATGGGAAAGAAGTAGCTTTCCATGGACTGTCTCCGGGTATTATTATTCGTTTTTTGAAGTCATAATGACTGCAGGAATTATGAAGCAAAGCCCAGCAAAGACATGATCTCCAAAACTCGAACTCGGCTCTTGCTGAGGCCAGACGAACCCGAGACGGGAAGATGCACCTTCCTCCAAAGGCTCAAGCTCTCACTTCAGCAAACACTTAAATGAGAATGGAGTTTCAACTGTGCATCAGCTGTATCTTAATTCTTTAAGAAACAAAAACAGGCATGCAGCTTGTGACCCATAAAAGCAAATCTTACTACAGAAAAGGAATCCATAAGAAAAACCGTGCGTTATAAAAATTACAGACGAGACGCCAAGCAAAAGAGATTTTAAATCTTTGAAAATGCATGGTAACAAGCTCAATTTCAAATTAATTTCATTCCTATGCAAAAACTATGGCAATCTCACTTATTAGAAAGGACTCAATTTTCACTTTTAACCATGCAACTGGATGAAATGCTGAGTCTATAATGACCATATCATTCAGATGTTCACAACAGCAATTTTCTTTCAGTGCGTGTTGGGGGCTGTGCCTGTGTATAGAGATTCGGTTCCCTGCAGAGTGCACTTGGCTTTGCTCAGCACACATTAGCCAGGGTTTCCCCGGGGTTCCTCCTATTATTTCCTTTCACACGTTAAGTGGGGGAAATGAGCTCTTACGGATTCCACGGTGCCTCCAAGTTACATTAAGCAGACGTGCAGGGTTCTAGGGTGAAAGCAAACTGTAGAAATCTTTTAAATATTATTAACTTCATGGTGTTTTGGATGTTTAAATTCATATAAAGGACAAGTTCTTCTACTAAGTCACTGCCCTACTGCTTATATTTTAGGTTCTTTCTCCAGAAAGTCAGTGCAAATCAGTGTCCCTGTGAACAGAAACTTCTCTACAGCAAGCGTGGGCAGTAAAACAAACCATGAGCTGGTGAATTAAAAAAATAAAAATAAAAGATGAGATTTCACATGCATGCATTTGGAGAGTTTGAGGATTGATTATACTTTAAAAGCACCTAAAAAGTATTTTGTATTATAAAATATTTGTAAATGTTCAAATGTTTAGCAGAACATATTTAAACATACACCCTTCCTGTATCTACATTCTCAAAAGCCTGGGACAGAGCTGGCAGGACCTTGTCTCCAGCGGGGACTGTTGGGCACACCTCCTGGGCATCTCTGGGAGCTCGGTTACAGTCCCATGAGATCAGGAGACTCCAACCTCAGAACATGCTCTATCTCCTTTGACTACCTAGAAATAAGGGGGAGAACAACCAAAGAACCTAACTTTTTTCTTGCAGCTGATTAACTATTACCTTGTCTTTTTCTAAAAGAAATACCTTGATCATCTAAGAATCTTTCTTCTCACCTCTTTTGAGACAACCCCAATTCTCTCTGTTGATTTTGCCAAAACAAGCAAAGTTGCATTTGTTATACGGACCTGGCTTTGGTTCCTCTGCCTGTTTTAAAGGCCGAAAACCCTGCATTAAGGGACAGATTTACAGTAGATATGCATTAAATAAGGATGCAATGCTATCCTTGCTTCTTAGCGGGGGAGCAGTGGCTTCTGAAGGTCCATTTTAGAACGGGACATGAGATGAACACCAGGGGTGGTTGGGAGACCCATGGGTCTTGTGGCTATGAAAACTGAGCGACCTTGACAATGAAGTATAACATTAGAGTTACAATGTTCACAGTCTTGGCTATGGAAAGGGAAACAGAACAGGACTACAAACTGGTACATGGAGAGACAGATCTTCAAGAAAGGGGAACAACAAGAACTACAGAGCTTCATCGTTTAGTTCCAGGAAGACTCCTGAGCATCATGAAGCATGGGGGGGGGGGGGGGGAGTGAAAGACACTTCCTAATGTCTGTTTGCTACGATTCTCCCTTAAACTGAGCTAGTTTCCAGATAAATGGGCCAATATAAGAGCTTACTATAATTATCCACCCAGAGTAGAGATTATTAACAGAATCATACATTAAATAAAAATTACACTTATTATATTCAAAAGTTAATAAACAAGTTGCTAAAACTGATGCTACATTTTTAAAAATCAACGTGAAAATTCATTCTTTTCATAATAGGCTACATGTAACTTTTAAGAGTTGCCAGAAAAGGCCTGGAGAATATTATTTAGGATCCTGTGAAAATGGTTCACCATTTCGCATTAGCACACTTTCTTTCTGTAAATACACCCACTTCACATAACTTAAATAAAATCAAGTGAAACCATCTTCCCGGGGGGAGGCTGTCTATATCTAATAGGCTCAATGTAAAGTAACACTGAGTTGGGGTTCAGAGCTCCACAAAGAAACGTCTCAAAACTCTAACAGCAGCCTGAACACAGGAGAAAGCCTGCTTTCTAAGGTCTTCATTCCAACTTTCTACACAATCCTCACAGTCCTGATGGAAAATCTTACCTCTCAGCTAAACACCAAAAAGAAACTTCACAGTAATTTATGTTAGCCCTAGAAAAACTTGTGTGGCCTATTTAAAAATTATTATTATCTTGTTATATACATTCCTTTGATGTAGATTCTAAAATACAGGCGACCGACACGTGGCAGAGGGAGGGGCGTGTGAATGTGCACCGATAGCTCTCTTGAGCTCCTAGATGAAAACATGATGTGCTTAGGCCAAAAAAAAAAAAAAAGGTAGGAAAACAACTTACCTCTTGTTTGACATCTCGCTGTGCTTTACATTATTTTTACCAACTATACAAACGCCAGCCTACATAAGCATACTGATATTACACCACTCTTAATGAGATACAATTATGTGTTAAAATAATTTGACATAGAATGTTTTTGTCTTTATTCTCAAATTCTCAGATAAATGTACTTTAGATTCACATAATATCACACGTATTTTATATTTTAATTTTTTTTGCTATGACATTATTTTGGGGAGGTAGGGTAAGACATTTGCTACTTTTGGTTGAAAGCCAAGGTTGCCTGGAGTTGGTCATATTTTTCATTCTTGCTGATTATTAAAAAATAGCTTTATTCTAAGAGGTGCCAGGGACCACATACTTCTAAGCCATTATATGTTAGACTGTGAGACCAAAAGGAATTGGTTACCAGATCTTGATTTGATCAATAAGACATGATACGAGTCACGTCTGTGTTCAAATGTAAAAGCAAGAGAACACGAAATACACCCTTAGACAAACAATGTTAGGACTTGTCAGTACTAGCAAATGCTGGGCAGCAACACATTTCATGACAGCAACAGGTCTGCTGACTTCCTGGAATGAGGGCCACCTTCCTTCTGTATGAATAGGATCAAAGCTCCTGCGTCCCAGGAAATGCCTTGGGATGCACTGCGCTTTCTTTCTTTCTTTTTTTTTTTTTTGGTACGTGCCCCTAGCGGGAACCGAACCCAGGACTCTCTGGTCTGCAGGCTGACTCTCCAACCGCTGAGCCAAACCGGCCAGGGCTGCACTGCATTTTCTAAATCTCTGGGTTTCTGTAGCCGAGAACTAGGGAAGCATACCCCCATATTAATGCCACACCATCGATACAATATTTATTTGAAATTGAAAGTTCTGTTTCACACACAAAGCTTAGACTAAATATTCCCATTTTCCCTCTACTTAAGATCTTCAGCCAATGCCTGTGGAAATACCTGTGATTTAACCCATGCATTTCATTCACAAGCGCTTGCTTGCTCCCTTTGTCTGTTTCCACTCATTTTCAAAGGCACATTTTAACCTTTTAACAGCTTATGTTAGCAAACAACCTGAAAATGCAAAAGTTATCTAAAAAGTTTTAAATGTTCATCTTACCTCCGGTGCTTTGAGCGGCCCTGGTTCTGAAACAAAGGTAAAAATCGGCATGGTCAGTGCAAAGGACGGGAGTGGGCAGCCTTGGTGGGCTCCCTGCAGCGGCGGCGGGGCTGCTTTGCTTTCCTAACTGATGCCTGCGGTACAGGTCCAGGGTCCCTCCGGCTGGCTAGGGATGGTTGTGCAACTCTGTTCTCTCGCCTCATTGGCTTGTCAGGAAAGTGACTCATCGCCCTAAATGACTTCTCGGTTATGCTTAAGTTTTTCAATTGTTTATTAAGCAATGTGAATCCAACCCCATAAACCTCCTTGCAACAGTGCCTTGCACTAAATTTACGTGCACGAGAGAAAGCTAGGTGGGAACTTTCAACATACCTGGTTTTAAGAATCTCAACACACCGAGTTACAGAGGTATTTCATTGAGTATTCATTAACAACTGCAAATTGAACATGTAACAATATTACTTGTAATTTTTTTTTCATTAAGTGGCTATAACTCTTATCTTTAATTTTTGGAGGAATACATTTTGATTTAAAGACGGAAATAAAAAACGGAGGATTGGATCCGGTGCAGATGTTCCTCTCCCCTCAGTTCAGCTGTCTGTGTATAGAAAGAGCCATCTCCACTACGTCTCAGCTCCCGAAAATGGGGAACAGGGACAGGGCCCCGGGCGCTGCAGGGGAGGAAGGGCGGAAAGCAAAGGGCTGTCCTGAATTAGAGGCTCAGACTGCATGTGGAAAACCCTGCGGATGCTCCTTTTGCTCCTTTCTCCACACCCAGAGCACCACACATGCTACAATTTCTCTACACTGTGAAGGAAAATGTCTCGTCATTTTGAGCCTAAGCCTACACTTTTCCCAGTGAAAATGCTCCTCTAAAGAACCTGAAGAGAAAAAGAAACGGGGGGGGGGGGGCAGGAGAAAAAGGGCAAGCCCCGACCTGAGCTGTCGGCGAAGCTCGCCTCGTGCAGAGGCTCCGGGAGCCCCACCAGCCAGTGCTCAAGGGGAAACCGACCTTCAGAAGCCCTGACTGCTGCCACAGATTGCAGGAGGCAGGAACACTGCCTGGGGCATGGAACAGGAGGCTTTGTTTATTTTTTTTATTTTAAGGACTACTCCTGATTAATGGAAATAAAAACTCCACGGGCAAAAAGTCACCTTTCTGAGCAAAGCTCCGTCTGCATTCCTCGGTCAATTCAAACCCATCACCCTCGCTCCCAGATAACTGTCAGGTCTGAAGTCTGCCTTTGCCAAAGGCTATTCCTGGACAGAAAGCGATTTCGCCTCTTGCCTCCCCTCTGGGAATGCGCAGTGCTGCAGAAGAGAGCCTGAGAGGACTGGTCTGGGGAGCGGGTCTGCAAGGGCACCGTCTGGCCGGACACTTGCCCAGACTTAGAGCCCAGGTTACGTGGACCTGGGCTCCTAACACAGCAGTTATAATGCCTGTCTCACTGGTTTGACCAAGACAATTTATAAGCCCGAACAGCCCTGTTACTTTCTCCTCTGACTCGGGAGTTAGGGGAGCCTGAACTGTGGGAAGCAGCCAGTAGAAGGGGAGTTTAAGTTTGCTTTCCACGGGGACTGAGAAAGGCTGATACTTCCAGACGACCTCGGAAACTGCCAAATCCAGATCTTCCAGGTTTGTGTTTACAAGTGAGTGTGCATCTTCATTTGGAATCAAAAGTATCATTTTTTTCTGGCTTGCATAGAAATGTTTTTATGTCTCAGGGAAGTAGGTCTTTTACCATAGCTTGAAATGTATTTTTTTGTTGTTTGGCATAAAAGCAATGGCAACCCGCGTGGCGGTCGCCGTCACACCATGCTCCGTGAGGGTCACGGGAGCTCCTCAGGAAGAGGAGACAGTGGTCTCCAAGGTGGTGCGGAGCTGTGCAGACACTTGCACCTCTATACCCTAAAAGCAGGTCCAGGAGCTGACAGGCCCTCATTTTCAGCTCCTCGGAACTTGTTGCACAGGTTCACATACCAGTGTGAGTGAACCTCTATCACAGAAGTCAAGAGGGCGAGGTCCGGGTCTGCACAGGTGGGAACAGAATGGACTCAGCAGACCACCCGTCCAATGCTCCTCCTTCATTCCCCCGGTTCCTGCCGCCCCACACTTCCCTTCTTTGCTATCCCATCAAGAGGGTTAGCATTCCTTACCATTCTCATCGGACGTGCTCACAACTGCTCTCTACAAAGCCTCCTCCGTGTAACCACAGAGGAAAATGGAAAAGGGGCTTTGGGATGGGTGCAACTCCAACTCTCAGGACAGGAGCCCTTCACTGGGGCTGACCCTGGCCCTTGCCACCACTCCCTGTGCTCGAGGCCTCCACCCTCACCCCACGCTCTGCCACCCAGGAAAGAAGCTCATTTCTTTCCCGGAGGCTGTCTACACGAGATCTGCTCAGATCACATCGGTAATGACTCTCAGAAGTCAGACCTTCTACTTAGTCCTATTTCATGGTGGGGTTCTGTGGATTTTCTGAGGAGAGGGCAAAAGCCAAAGAACTAAAAATAACCCTTGGAATCTTTTCTGAGTTCAGAAGTTCTTAGCCAGGTCCCTTTACTTACACTTTTCTAGCTGCTCTAAAGATCAGACTGTTGAACTGACGGACCCCTCCACAGAGAGCAGCTAAATTCTGATAACCATATCAAATGCAACAGCATGCTCACGTCAACTAAAACAACAGGAATGAGAGAGAGGAAAACCCAGCTGATAATGTTCATCCATTTTCAAAGGAACAGTTCATTCGGGCTGGGCAGCCGGAACAAGAACCTCCTCAGATGAAGCAGGCTGTGGACAGGGTTCCATCTGCCACACCACCCTTCCTCTCTGGCACCAAAGCTACTGTGGTGGGCACCTGGTTCTCTACAACCCCTTTGGGTCATGGTTCCGCATCAGGACTAGGAACTGAGCGCTGACGATCATCAAATCTGCTTTGGCTGAATTCCTACCAAGTCGGAGGCGGCTGATTGAGACATGAAGAAAAAGTCTCTCTGTCTTCTCTCCTGGGACCTGCCTTAGGATAATAATTCAATTCTTCAAGTTTTTCAAAAGTTTTTAATCCTCAACTTGTCTTTCCCCTGCAGCCTGTTTCTCAGGCTCCTGTTGATCACACTGTAAAATGTTCTAACCCTCTCAAGAACCTTTCTGGATGGTGACTCACAGGCCCGGAAGGGGTTTAGACCTCGAATTCTTTCATCTTGTCCCAACTGGTTCCCTGTGACTCAGGGCAGTGCTGTAGCGAGGAGCTGGGGCCGCTGCGGCCAGTCAGGGCTCCACGGGCTTGTCTAAGAGAAACGGCTTCCACTGCGGCTTTGGACTCATATCCTATCATTCCTTTGTTCAAACAACCACCGAGCCCTCGTGTATCTGTTTGTCCAATACAAGTGGCTTGGTGCATACATTATTATGCAATTGCTTTGTCTCTTTTCTGCCATTCTGTTTCATGAGACCAAACAAATCGATATCCAGTAAGACCATTTGTCCCCAAAGGGGCCACAGGAAAGCCATTGCCAGGATAGCTTTTGACAGCGCCTTGTCATTATAGCTAAAACATGCTCTTTTTATGAAACATGAAAACTGAGACAGTGGGAACAGACCCAGTTTGGGAGAAAGTTGCATGAATACCATGCCCACCACTCAGATCTACAGCAATATTTTGAAAAACCAAAACCAAAAAACTGTAAGTAATACTTGGAAAGAGGCTTTGATTTCAAGTCTTTTCAGGAGCTCTGACCAGAATCCACCCATATAATAGCTCCCAGTTCACTTTAATAATTACTAACGTATCATTCAACTGACCCAAACAGTCAAATGGAAGGAATAGCAATTCTTGAGTGTAAACTTGTCTTGGGTAAGTTAAAAAAAGAGGACTTTTTTCCTGGCTCTCTTTTATAAGAAAGAGATACAGAATCATGGAAGTAAGAAACAGACTGACAAACTTCAGAGTAATGGGGGTGGGAGGGGTGGGAAGAGATAAACCAAAGAACTTACATGCATATGTGTACAACCAGTCTACATGGACACTAGGCTGGGGAGGGAGCAGGAAGGAGCGAGGATCAATGGGGAAAAAAGGGGAACACCTGTAATACTTACAACAATAAAAAAAAAATTGACAAAAAAGAGGACTGATTTATGTAAAAGGATGTAAGTACTATGAAGTAGAACCAAAGCCAGTTTTTGGTTATGCAATCAATAATGAAGTCTCGGTTCATAAAAAAGTAATGTTATACCCAGCTGGTGTGGCTCAGTGGTTGAGTGTTGATCCATGCACCAAGAGGTCACCCGTTCGATTCACACCAGTTCGATGCACATGCCCAGGTTGTAGGCCCAATACCCCATGGGGGCATGCAGGAGGCAGCCAATCGATGCTCTCTTTCATTGATGTTTCTATCTCTCTCTCCCACTCCCTTACTCTCTCTCTCTCTCTCTCTCTCTCTCTCTCTCTAAAAATCAATAAAGAAAAAAAATTTTTTATAAAAGAAAAGAGCCCTGGCTGGTTTGGCTCAGCGGTTAGAGCGTCGGCCTGCAGACCAGAGAGGCCTGGGTTCAGTTCCTGCTCAGGGTACATACCTCGGTTGCAGTTTGTCCCTGGGCCCCGTTGGGGTCGTGTGGGTGGCAACCACTTGATGCATCTCTTTCATATTGATGTTTCTTTCTCTCTCTTCCTCCCTCTCTCCCTCCCGCTCTATATGAAGATAAATGCAAAAATGTCCTTGGGTGAGGATAAAAGAGAAAAGAAAAGTCATGTCATAAAATGCCCAGTGATAGAAGGCTGAAATAAAATTCTATTCGAATTGCTGAGCTCATGTTGAAATAGTGCAATACTGTTTATAAAAGAGCTGTTTCAGATGCCGATCTGTGGGGCAGGTTGCAGAAGCAATCTTGCAGGGTTGAACCAAGAGGACACCAAGCCCACTGTTTTCCAATTAAGGGCGGCGAGCAGCAGCCGGAGCCGAGGCTGGCCTAGATAAGAGCGAGTACACAGAGAGGCCAATGGGGATCTGCTTTGGTTGGCTATCAGAG